CTCCAGAGGGTCACATTCAGCCTTGGGACCAGAGGTTCCCAACCCCTGGTCCTTGGGTGTGATTCACGTGATTGCTGTTTTATTCCAGATGCACGGAGAAGTGAAAAGGAAGAGAATTCCATATGCAGAAGAAGCGAGCCAGTGGCAGCGCCGGGGCAGGCCAAGGAGAACATGTCCCAACATTGGACTGAGGAGGAACTTTCCAAGAACTCGGATCATGTGGAAGGGAAGCAGGGACCTGTCAGTGGGATCAAGCGGAATAGGCCATCCATTGGAAGAGAAGAAAGTGATAGCAACAGTGACCCCAGTGCTGCTAAAATTCAGCAGAGGCTTTACAAGAGCGAGAGGGAAGGGATATCAGCTGTGGGCCCAGACTGGCCTGGCTGTGAGGGAAGAAGCTGCAGCTTGAAAACGTACAACTGCACAGACAGTTCTGACCTCATCCTCAGTCACCAGAGAACCCACATGGCTGAGAAGCCCTACAAATGCTTGAACTGTGGGAAGGGTTTCACCCGCAGCTCAAACCTTATGAGCCATCAGAGGACCCACACGGGGGAGAGGCCGTACCAGTGCTTAGACTGTGGGGAGAGCTTCTCCCAAAGCTCGCAAGTCACCAGCCACCAGCGCATGCATACGGGGGAGAAACCGTACAGGTGTCCCGAGTGCCAGAAATCCTTCAGCCTGCGCTCGCTCCTGACCCGACATCAGAAGATCCACAGGGGGGAAAAACCGTACCAGTGTGCCGAGTGCGGGAAACGGTTCATTGAGAGCTCCAAGCTCGTGACACACGAGAGAACCCACACGGGTGAGAAGCCGTACAAGTGCGTCGTGTGTGGGATCGGCTTCGGTCAGAGCTCAAACCTTCTGGATCACGTCAGGACCCACACTGGGGAGAAACCCTACCGATGTGCCCACTGTGGGAAAAGCTTTAGCCGGAGCTCGAACCTCATCGTTCACGAGAGGACCCACACGGGCGAAAGGCCCTACGAGTGCTCCCAATGCGGGAAGGGCTTCACCCAGAACTCCCGCCTGGTTAGCCACAGGAGAATCCACATCCAAGAAACAGCATAAAAATTGACTTAAATAACGATTTAAAATTTTCATTTTAAATGGTAAAAAAAAAACACACCAGTTTTTTTTTATTCAAATCAAATCCAACCTATTCCCCACCATTTTATAAAGGAAGGAAGTGGTTTTTGGTTTGCAGAGTATGATCTATTTGGGGAGGGGAGAGAGATGGAAATACTAATTTTTTGGACTATTTATTTTATTATTTTAT